TTATTTCTTCACTAAAGTCAGCCAAGAGTGGCTAAATATATATGCACTTGCATGAAAATCATAAAGGGGTCATTCTACAGAAACGTCCACTTTTCTATCTCATCATAGGAGTCACTGGTGTTACTGATCCTCATTGGTGTTATACATAATAAAGAAAACACCAGAGACATTTTAATGAACAATGCATTTTACAAAACAGCTGCTACAGAACATCAAACCACATGTTGTCAGTCATGGAATATCCACTGAAATATGGAATTTAATCCATTTGTATTCTACTTTTTCACAATTACCTCAGAATAAAGTCGGTCACACCAGTGACTTCAGCTAAAAGCTTCATATGAAATCATGAGCTAAATGAGAAAATCTCTGATAACTGAAAGACACAGTGGACTCACCATGAGCTTTTCTTCATAGATCCTCAGACAAGTCGAGTGAGGTCATCAGTGTGACTTTTATTTCAAAATAAGAGATTTTTTTGTCACGCAGTAACACCAGTGACACAATTCCTGGGGACAACTTTCATTATATATTTTATAATATTTATTTGGCATTTGTTTTCTTTGTCATTTAAATCATATATTTCATAGTCATGTATAGATTATTGCAGTTAAAATGGCAGAAAAACATGTTTTTTTCTTCAAAATATGGCCTCAGCCTTCACACATGACTGTGGGGACGAGAAATTCTGTGGTGCTTGGAATTCAAGATAATTGATTTATAACCAATATTGCTAAATTGATGCATCAAGAAGGTGTAGTTGTTAAAATAACGTATTGTTTTATTTTAAAATATAAATAAATTGTAACTCTAACATGTTTTTGAAGTGTAATATATCTGTAAATGCTAGGGACACAAAAATGGACATTTCTGTAGAATGACCCAAATGCGATGTTAGATGCAGCGTAAAACAAAACAAAACTATGGACGATGTGGACGAATCTTTTACCGTTATTATTATTTTACCGTTACTCTTACTGCATTCATAGTCCTGCTCATAGGACCCATTGGTTTATTGGTTAATGGTTTAGTTTTGGAATAGGTGGAGTTTAGGAAGAGGCTGCACTGCACCCCCTACTGGCCAGAGCTACAATTGTTTATCATGTTAAAATGAACACTATTGAAAATAATAAAATCTGGAAAAAACAGAAGATCTCATTTTTCTGTATAAGCTGGTGGGACAGTCTGATAGCGATACTTTTAAAAAGTATCTTAAAACACAATTCACATTTATTATATTCAAAGAGGTGTGATTATTCTACTTACATCTTTATTAGGTTTTCAAATCCAAAGTTAAGTCCAAGAATGTTTGTATATATAATGTTTGGCTGCACTTCCTGGTGGAAAACCAGCATCCAGTCGGCATGGAAGCAGCTCAGTTTATGGCACAATTCACAATAAATACAAGATGCTGGCAGAAACAATAGTGTCTCGTTGTGTTTTAGGCTGTAATGTCAAACATAACCAAGTATGTAATGGATTTCACTTACATTGTTCCCCATTTTCCAGCTTTCTAAAGCAGGTAGAGCAGGTAGCGTCTTTGCTAACCCTTGCAGCTGAAGCTAACAGCAGATTAGTGAGTTCTTGACTCACACAACCAATAAGAGTACCAGACAATGACAATTAGGATGGTATGTTGATGTGTTTATTGCTATTTTTTAGAATTATGACTTTGTAGAGAGTTCAATGTAAGGTGACCCTGATAGCAAGAGGACAGTGGTCCACTGTCGGCCCGCTAATGGCAGAGCTGGTGGTCCACTGGCGTTCTGCTTGGCTTTTTCCGGGGGGTCCGCTGGCGGTTAAGCGAAGTATTACACAAAAGTCCACTTATCATCACTCATTTTCCACTCACCGACATACGCTCGCTGTCTGGGGACATAAGCTAGTTAAAAAGCTAACACTGTTAACATTCATGCTAGCTGCGACAGAACAATTTTTGCTCATATTTTCACACTCAGAGAAAAACTGAGTCTTGCGTTTGGTTTCTACACGTGATTCTTTGTAAATATGGACATTTGTGTGAACGTACAGAAAAATATAATTTCATATCAGCCAATGAGATAAGCTAACTGGCTAGTAAGGTAGCTAATTAGCCAGATTAGATGCTTAAGAGTTACCAAAACACTAAAAAGACCATTAAATTGTTAATTGCAGTTATTATAAACAATCCCATCTGTCTTATAAACAAAGGGCAAATGAACTGGAACTAGAACTGTCAGTTCAGTTGGTTCATGTTTGTGTGCGATGTTGGTTTTGTGCAGTGCTTGAACAGCTTCATAAAGCAAATGCTTCTTTAATCCTGCAGTGAAATGCAGTTCTTGACCTGCGAAGATCAGTTTAAAAAAGTCTTATTTTTCATCTTAGGTAAAAAAAAAATCTTAGAATTGGTACAAAATCCTGCTGTATTAGTGGAGAGTTATTTGCATTATTGACCTGGAAGTAAGTTCTTTGGCACTGTGACGTAGCAATAATTTGTCCTACAGTTGTTCAACGTTGCATTTACACTGTATGACATTTACAGTGGTGCTTGTAAGTTTGTAAACTCTATAATTTTCTATATTTCTGTATAAATTTGACCGAAACATTGCAGTTGTTGCTGCACAAGGGGGTCACACCAGATACTGAAAGCTACTTTTGCCACTCACAGATATGAAACATTGGTTCATTTTCGTCAATAAATAAATGACCAAGTCTAATATTTTTGTCTGATTTGTTTAATTTGGTTCTCTTTATCAACTATTAGGATTTGTGTGAAAATCTGAAGAAGTTTTGGGTCAAATTTATGCAGAAAATTCTAAAGGTTTTACAAACTTTCAAGCACCACCTAAATGGACTAAACAACCATGTGTATTTGGCCTTGTTCGAACTGCCAACCTAAATCCAACTTTCGGCATATCCGATTGATTTTTAAAAGTCTGGACAGCACATGAAATCTAATTTTTGCAAATCACAAATTTGCACATTTGGAGGTGATTTGAAATACGGATTTTTACAGCTGCGTCTCGGTCTGGACGCTCAAATCGGATTTTCAAAGTGTCTTTTGCATCACTTGCAATGCAACAAACAACAACAACGTCCAATCCAGAGTGACGGAAGTGCTGGGATTCAAGAAAAGCAGCAGAGGTTCAGGCTTTTATCAGAGAATTCTGAAGTGTTTGGAGGGCGAGATGATGCACCTCCATCTCTCCTGCATCCGCATTTGAAACCTGCGTCACCAGCGAAGCTACATAGTTACTTGCTCCTACATGGTTACCATGGCAACCCTTGCAGAGATGTCTGGACGCACAAATCAAGTCTGATCACCTGCAAATGACAGTGTGGACAGTCGTCTCAGAAGATCTGACTTGGGAAACGAATACGTTCTGCCTGCAGAATCAACACAGCCGTACCCTGCATTCACAGCGGCAGCGCCAAAGTGGCCGGAGGTCATTCATTTTCAATGAGAGCAGCCAATTTCTGGTGACAGGAGGCGGCGCAAACGTTTGAGGCATGAACGTTGGAGACACGACATCAGCTGTGTCCTTTGGAGGCTGCATTTGAAGGCCGATCACATCATAGTGGTGTGACTAGGCCGTCACATTTCGAAGGCTCCTTCATTCATATGTGGCTGAGGAATGTGTCCTCCAGTGGGTGGATCCTTCACAGGCCAGCTTATCCCGAGGTTCACTGGGTGCTGGCGAGGATCTGAGAACATAGCGCCGTCAGTATTGGGTTTAAACTGAGTCAAATAGCGAACGACACAAATGTTAAACAAGCCAAACTAATCTTACGCTAACGTTTCGGTTTGTTTTAGGGAGCAAAGAGCCGACAGAGAGAAGATCTCCAGCTCTAATAAATGAACAAATAAAAACTAAAATCAGTTTCTGGGTCCGTCTTTAAAGAACCTAAAAAGAACCTGACAGGAGCGGCGTTTCATGACGCAGCGGTGAGGAACAGCGGTGCTGTGACACAAACAGGAAATCCACCGTAGAGCAGACCGTCTCATTTCAGTTCAGCCTTCACGGGTCTAAGAAACCGTTGAAGGACACGCCTTCATAGACCACGTCCTCTGAAGGACGCGGCCCCTGAATTGGGACACACTGAAAGAGTGGAGTTCAACTTTATGCAAATAAGCAGAGAAGCGACGTGGCGATCACCAATAGGAATTGAGCATTAAGCAGCGTAGCACGCACTTTATCTCCGCCTCTGTAAAACGGTGCGCTGTTCTACTACAGGTGGAATAATGGCGCCGGCGCTTCGCCGCAAATAGACGGCAAATTGCAAAGACCAAATACTGCTTTCCTCACAAACTGACCGCACCGACAGGGATTAAATAAAATAAGTCGGTCAGTTGGAGTTCAGAAAAGCCCCCAGGCGATGAGCAACCAGCAGTTTGGCCGACAAGAGGCGAGAAGTTGCCGCCGGTGTGAACGCAGGGTTAGACATTACTCAACATCTCTACTTGGTTTAAGGGGTGTGACTATGCTAATTGGTGGGATATAAGCTTCCAATACTTGTTAGCTGCATTAGCCTCAGACTACCTAGCTTGAGCATCTGCATATGCGCATAAAAATAAAGAAGTAAAAACATTCCTGCACCTCTCAGCACAAAACTCAAACTCCGCACAGCTTGATTTCTAGACTCAAGCTGTTCCGCAGCACAGCTGCCTTTATTAAACCCCTATTTAGGGCTAATTGCTGCTATTCATTAAGCTGCTGTCAGGAAACCTGATTCTAATTCTTTGCAGAAATCTGTTAAATTACAGAGCTAAATGAAGGACTCTTGTTTTAATCAGCTGTAATTGTTATTGCATTTGTTTGAAGGTTAAACCGTGCAAATGTGATTATGATGTGCGAACCTGCACATAACGTTAACTTAATCAAATATATAAAAGTTGTAGAGTCTTTAAAACCAGCAGTGGATCTAATCAGGTGTTTGTTCTGAAACGGAGATGCTGATTATGTGATACATTAAGACTCTGATTCGGGTGTCATGAGTTTATTTGTGTGGGAAGATGATTCACACTTTTACAAACTTCTGCAAGGAGAAAGTTTTAAGATCACAAACATGGCTAATGTGACTCGGTTCTCCCTGAGCGTTCATTTGCGTCGCTGCTAGATCTCGGCCTCCTGTTTCTCTCGTTGGTCTTTGACCTCTTGCGGCACTCGGACCGTCATTCCGTCCATCCAGCGCTCCACGGTCACCTGGCAGCCCAGCCGAGACCTGATTGGGCAGAGAGAACCGATCACAATTCAGCACATTAGCCAGTCAGAAAGCAAACCAAACAACTGAGATGCTAAACAAGCTAAGGTAGCTAATTAGCCAGTTAGCATAGCATTAACTGCTAGCATATATCACTGGCCTTAAAGACCAGCCTTCATTCAATTTACAGCCAAGTTAAGGTTTTAAAATAAGAGGGTTCTTCAGACTGATGGAGAATGTGCTGTAGATGGTTCTTTCTAGAACCTTGTTGATAAGGGTTCTATATAGCACCCAAAAGGGTTCGTCTGTTGTTACAATTTCTACATATATACATCTGAGGAACCATTTAATGATGCAAAGAACCTTTTAATCATGCCAAGGGTTCTGTAAGTGTTCATGGTTCTGTATAGAACTATTTTGAAAAGGGTTCTATATAGCACCCAAAAGCGTTCACCTATTGTTACAATTTCTATATAGAACCGTGTACAGCGCATTCTCCATCAATCTGAAGAACCATTTTATGATGCAAAGAGCCCTTAAATCATGCAGAGAGTTCTACGTTCAATGTTCTATATAGAACCATTTTGAAAAGGGTTCTGTATAGCGTCCAAAAGAGTTCTTCTGCTGTTACAAGCTTGACACCGTAACAATAGAGAAGCGCTTTTTAGTGCTGTACAGAACCATTATCAAAAAGGTTCTATGTAGAACTTCTACAGAACATCTACAGCACATTCTCCATCAATCTGAAGAACCATTTCATGATGCAAAGAACCTTTTAATCATCCAAAGGGTTCTTTGAGTGTCATGGCTCTATATAGAACCATTTTGAAAAGGGTTCTATATAGCACCCAAAAGGGTTCTTCTATTGTTACAAGCTTGACACCACAACAATAGAAGAACCCGTTTTAGAGCTATGTAGAACCATTTTTTAAAAAGGTGCTATTTATAGAACCATCTACAGCACATGAAGAACAACTTCATGATGCAAAGAACCCTTTAATCATGCAAAGGGTTCTTTGAGTGTTCATGGTTCTATATAGAACCATTTTGAAAAGGGTTCTATATGGCACCCAAAAGGGTTTGTCTATTTTTACAAGCTTGACACCGTAACAATCAAAGAACCCTTTTAGTGCTATTTTTAAAACCCTTTTCAAAAAGGTTCCATATAGAACCATCTATAGCACGTTCTCTATCAATCTGAAGAACAACTTCATGATGCAAAGAACCTTTTAATCATCCAAAGGGTTCTTTGAGTGTTCATGGTTCTATACAGAACCATTGTCTTTACTAAAGAAACCTTGAAGGCCCTTCTTCTATAAGAGTGCAGCTCTGAGTTACGTAAACAACTAATCAGATTCTCTTATGTTGACGATTAGCCAATCAGATTCGTACGTTTTGGTCAGTCCATAGGCCAGGTCCAGCATGTCCATCTCCTCATCTGCCAACGGCTCCATCTTCTCGTAAACACTGTCCTCGAAGATCAGGTGACAGGTGGAACACGCCAACGTTCCCTCACACGCACCTAACACACACACACACACGTTTGTCTTGCTGTACATGTGAGGACTTCCACAGGTTTCCATTGATTTTTGTGTTACTGTAGATAAATAACACTACATTTACATCTAAACCTAAAATCCTAACCCTAGCCTCAGAATTCAAAAGGTCATTTTTTCTGATGTTTTAGTATTTAAAAAAAAAATGATTTGTGGTGAAATTAAAATGTGCACAAGTGAAGACCAGTAATGTCATTTTATGTTATCCTATCCTAGTAAGGACACATGGTCCTCACAAGTATAGCAATACAAAAACACAGACGCCATACCGAAGCCGTCGATTTGCAGGTTTTTGTTGACGACCACATCCAGCAGGGATTCTCCTTCAGTCGCACTGACACTCATCTTCATTCCGGACTGATTCACAAAGTGTAACAGCACCTTACAGCCTGAGGAACTAAACACACACACACACACACACACACCGCCCACTTCATTAAGTCTACTCCTTTGTTTCTACACTCACTGTCCATTTTATGAGCTCCACTGACCACATAGTCTCACTCTGTAGTTCTACAGCTACTGTAGTCCATCTGTTTCTCTGCACCCTGTTCTTCAGTGGTCAGGACCCCCATGGACCCTCACAGAGCAGGTACTATTTGGGTGGTGGATCATTCTCAGCACTGCAGTAACACTGACGTGGTGGTGGTGTGTTAGTGTGTGTTGCGCTGGTCTGAGTGGATCAGACACAGCAGTGCTTCTGGAGTTTTTAAACACCTCAGTGTCGCTGCTGGACTGAGAATAGTCCACCAACCAAACATATCCAGCCAACAGCGTCCTGTGACCACTGATGATGAGCTATCGTCTCTGACTTTACATCTACAAGGTGGACTGACAAGGTAGGAGTGTCTAATAGAGTGGACAGTGAGTGGACACAGTGTTTAAAAACTCCAGCAGCACTGCTGTGTCTGATCCACTCACACCAGCGCAACACACACTACTTACTGCAGTGCTGAGAATGTGGGGGTCCTGTGGGGGTCCCGACCACTGAAGAACAGGGTAACAAAGTATGCAGAGAAACAGATGGACTACAGTCTGTAACTGTAGAGCGACAGAGTGGAACTATATGGTCAGTGGAGCTGATACAGTTATGCAAAAAGAACAGATGAAATGGAGATATGAAGTAACACCTGTGTGTTTGGTGGAACTACAGTGGACTGACTGTCTGTACTGATGAAAGAGCATCACTGACACACCTTCACCTCAGAGATCACCCACCAATTTACACACCTGTCTGATTCACCGTGAGGTGAAAAAGTGAATAAGTCTCGCTCTACTTCAGTCGACTCTATACAGCACGACTCTCTCTCTCTCTCTCTCTCTCTCTCTCTCTCTCCCTCTCTAATGCTAACCCCTTCTGTCATCCGATAGCGCTTTCATTTTCTCTTGTGGCCGCCATATTTAGGACCAAATGTCTGGCTTCGCTGCTCCGCACGAACATAACTAGAGGTGAAAGATGGTTAAAATTACTTTGGAAGAGAAAAACGTTCCTCGATAAAGTCGATAAAACAGTCTGTGATCCTCACACAGTTTCCCCTGAACTCCTGGTCCCACTGAAACTGGTGGAAAGGCTACCAAATTTAGTGTTTTCCTCACATATTGATCTCATACTCAGCCCCTCTCCCTATTCTGGAGGGTCTCTCAAAGCATTTAAAAGCACAGAAGCCCACCAGCTCTTCACGTCAGGGTGAGTAAAGGATCCCATGGTGTTGAATAAAGAGGAGATAAACTCTGTGATCATAGGAGGGTAACGACATCAGCTAATTAACACAGATGAGATCAATGCTGGCCTTTAGATCACTTTAGCTGATGTTATCAGAGAGATGAACAGTTGTCCCCCTAACGGAGCTGCAGACAGTCGGTATAACTTTACTCTCTGTTTCTGATTTAAATGACGTTTGAATGGAGAAACATAAGCGTTAAATATCAGACTGAATATCGTGGGTCGGAAAACGACGTCGTGTTTCGACAGACGTGATTCTGTAAGTTTGCTAGTGCAGTTAGTTCAGAGTTCAGCTCCAGTCCTGAAACCCCTGCACTGCATAACTGTGGTTTCCTGGTTAAAATACCTGATATTATTAGCTAATTAATCCCTTTTTGAGCTGAACGAGGTGGAACAGCAGAGAGAGACACTAAACTGTACAGTGCAGCGGCTCCAAACCTGGAGTGAAAACACTGAATTAAAGGTCTGTGTGTCTCTCGTCTCTCGGCTTCTGTCGCGTCTCGCAGGTGAATCATTCACAAAGCACAGCTGATTGAAGGCGTCGCGCAGCTCAGTCACCCCCTGATTCGGTCCTCAACATGGAGGTGACTATACAGTGTGACGTCACGGGAAACGCGAGAAAAGACCTTTTTCACAGTTACAGTGGGTGAAGAGACACAAACACTGGACTGTTCATGACTGGTAACATGTTCTCTGGACAGTTCCGACATTGAGCTGCTGGAGAACCATCTTACAGGAACATAACATTCCTATCCCTGTATTCCAAGAGGACAATTCTCTCAGTCACAGGGCTGCAAATGTGACTGACTGGCATGATGAACATCTGGACTGGCCTGCAAAATCCCCAGATTTTGACTCTTTGAAGCAAGAGTGGCTGAACGTTGATGTTGGCCACATCCAGAAACCCGTCCAGTCCACGTCAAATCAAATCACAGCTGTTATTCGTGCTCAGAGGTATTACGCACTATAGGGTACGTTTCAGTCACAGGTGACTAATTTTTTGTCCGGTGAGCTTATCTACCAATAGGAGAACAACATTGCAAAAATATCTACCAATAGGAGAACTGGACCACAAAAAATCCACCAATAGGAGAACTGGACCACAAAAAATCCACCAATAGGAGAACTGGACCACAAAAAATCCACCAATAGGAGAATAGCAAAAATGTCTGATTATAGGAGAACAGCAGAGCAAAAATATCTACCAATAGGAGAACTGGACCACAAAAAATCCACCAATAGGAGAACTGGACCACAAAAAATCCACCAATAGGAGAATAGCAAAAATGTCTGATTATAGGAGAACAGCAGAGCAAAAATATCTACTAATACCAGAACGAGACAACACAAAATCCAGCAAGAGGAGAACAGCAAGACTAAAAACCTACCAATAGGAGAACAGCATGGCTAAATATCCACTAATAGCAGCACAGAATGCTAAAAAACCCACCAATTGGAAAATTATGTAGCTAAAAACTCACCAATAGGAGAATTGCAAGGCTAAAAACCAACCAATAGGGGAATGGCATGTCTAAAAATCTACCAATAGGAGAACAGCATGTCTAAAAACCAACCAATAGGAGAACAGCAAGGCTAAAAACCAACCAATAGGAGAACAGCATGTCTAAAAACCTACCAATAGGAGAATAGCAAAACTAAAAACCAACGAATAGGAGAACAGCGTGTCTAAAAACCTACCAATAGGAGAACAGCAAGGCTAAAAACCAACCAATAGGAGAACAGCATGTCTAAAAACCTACCAATAGGAGAAAAGCAAAACTAAAAACCAACCAATAGGAGAACAGCGTGTCTAAAAACCTACCAATAGGAGAACAGCAAGGCTAAAAACCAACCAATAGGAGAACAGCATGTCTAAAAACCTACCAATAGGAGAATAGCAAAACTAAAAACCAACCAATAGGAGAACAGCAAAACTAAAAACCAACCAATAGGAGAACAGCATGGATAAAATCCACCAAGTGAACAGCATAGCTAATTAGTAACTAATAGCAGCACAGAATGGCTAAAAAGCCACCAATCGCATAGCTAAAAAACTCGCCAAAGGGAGAACAGCAAAACTAAAACGTCCAACAAAAGAAGAAAAGCATGGCTAAATATCCACCAACTGGAGCACGGGATGGCTAAAAAGCAACCAACAGGAGAACAGCATAGCTAAAAATCCACCAATAGGAGAATGACACAGCTACAAACCCACCAATCGAAGAAGGGACGTGTTTCTTGCCCTCATTTTCACGTGTTTTTCTGAATTAAAACACTGCAGCAATTTAGTATTGAACACAGCTCCTCAAAATACGATAACATTAGCCTCCTCATGAAAAACTTACACCTACTCTGTTCAGAACTCTCGTCTGATCATCGCAGCAGGTTTCTCTCTGTCCTGAATCGCGGGCTCCTGTCAGATAACATGCATTAAGCTGGTGGGATCTGAGTCCTGGGGGACCCAGTCATGCCTGCTGCATGTCAATAACTGTTTAAGGGGGTGAAATTTCTTCCCCAGAACACCTACAAGTCACCGAGACTGAGAATGACAGCCGCACAGTGGAGCGTGTTCACTCGGAGCAGAGCGGAGTGACGGGCTGGAGGTTACGGAGAACACAGGGGAACGTTCTCAGAATCAGAATCTATTTCACAGCTGTTCACCGCAGGAAATAGATGATTCTATTGAAAAAAAAAAGACCAAAAAATTACACCCCCTCTTCTGAAGGCCTGGAAGGCTCGGGGATCCTCCGAGAAAGGGCTTCAGAAAATGCTGTTTATGTGAGCAGTAAGTATTTATGTATTCAGACAATTGTGGATATTACAATTAAAACAAATGATATTCATACAATCAGCAATGATTTTAAGCATGTCAGTGTGTTCATGCACACATTTCCTGCCCTCTCCTCAAGGAAGTCAGGTATTCAATGTTGTTATCATCCAAAATCTGGTTTATCTAATCAATACTTAATGAAACTCGTGTTACTTTTTTACTGTATGTGTTTATTTACACTTGCATGAAAAACATGCAATTTTTTTTATTTCATTGATTTGACATGCAAAATCACCTGGGATATCACAGCAACAGCCTAGCAACCACCTGGGACAATGCAGCAATGCCCTAGTAACGCCTTACAACCTCCTGGGATACCATAGTTATGGCCTTGTAATACCTTAAAACCACCTGGGATACCATAGCAACACTCGAAACCACCTGGGATACCATAGTTATGGCCTTGTAATACCTTAAAAGCACCTCGGATACCTTAGCAACGCTCTAAACCACCTGGGATACCATAGTTATGGCCTAGCAATACCTTAAAACCACCTGGGATACCATAGCAACACTCGAAACCACCTGGGATACCATAGTTATGGCCTTGTAATACCTTAAAAGCACCTCGGATACCTTAGCAACACCTTTAAACCACCTGGGATACCATAGTTATGGCCTTGTAATACCTTAAAAGCACCTCGGATACCTTAGCAACACCTTTAAACCACCTGGGATACCATAGTTATGGCCTAGCAACACCTTAAAACCACCTGGGATACCATAGTTCTGTCCTAGCAATACTTTTAGACCACCTAACTATGGTATCCCAGGTGGGTTTTAAGGTATTGCTAGGCCATAACTATGGTATCACTCTCCATACCCCCACTCTACTGACCCCCACCCTCTATAGCCCCACTCTACTGACTCCCACACTTAACACCCCTACTCTACTGACCCCCACACTCCATACCCCCACGCTACTGACACCCACTCTCCATACTCCCACCCTACTGACCCCCACCCTCCATACCCCCACTCTACTGACCCCCACACTCCATATACCCACTATACTGACCCCCACACTTAACACCCCTACTCTACTGACCCCCACTCTCCATACCCCCACTCTACTGACCCCCACACTCCATACCCCCACTCTACTGACCCCCACTCTCCATACCCCCACTCTACTGACCCCCACACTCCATACCCCCACTCTACTGACCCCCACTCTCCATACCCCCACTCTACTGACCCCCACACTCCATATCCCCACTCTGCAGATCTCCACTCCCCATACCCCCAGGGAACAAAGAGAGGAGAGAGAAGAAAAGGAGAGACAGAGTGAGTGAGAGAAAATCAGGGATGGGGAAGGAGTGAGAGAGAGAGAAAAAGAGTGAGAGAGAGAGAGAGAAAGAGAGAGAGAGAGAAAGAGCAGGAGAGAGTGAGAGAGAGAGAGAGAGAGAGAGAGAGAGAGAGAGAGAGAGAGAAAGAGAGAGAGAGAGAGAGAGAGAAAGAGAGAGAGAGAGGGGCATTGGGATGTATTAAATTTAATTCCTGCAATTTCACATCAGTCACTCACTCACACTCCTCAATTCTCAGCACAGCAGCTCTGTCCTCACCTCCATCTCTTCATCTCTCCACTCCTTCACCTTTTCTTCCTTCACTCCATCCCTCAGGCCATTCCTGCACCCTCCAGACTCTTTATCTCCCACCTCTCTGTCTTTCCTCCTCCCTGTTTGGCTCGTTTCATTTGTTCCTTTGACTTTTACTCTGTTCTGCTCTCTCTCTCTCTTTCTTCTCTCTCTGTCTTTGACACTCACATCTGTCTGTCTTTCTCTCTTTTCATCTGTCCTGCAGAGGCCCCTCCGTCTGATCCCGCAGCTCTTTAATTCCAGTCTGACTCACACGGCTGAACTCGGCTGCTGAATAAAAGATTGCGGTGTGGATTGTGGACGAGCGCTCGGCGTCTGTAAAGCTCCACGTCTCAAATAATTGGATTAAATTCACAACCTCTGAGAAAAATGACACTTTAGAGCAAACTGAGCCTGAATCTGCAATGAAGGGGCCACTATTCCACCTTAAATGATGCAGCAGTTACATTCTGGTGCTTCAGAACTGCTGGACTATTTAAGGTGGAATGTGGAAATTTAGCCAGCTAGCTACAGAGACATCAGCACAGTACTAGCGATTTGTATGCTTGCGGTGAAGAAAAGGACCATAATACACTGAAACGGCATTAAACTGAGGCAATACAGTGGTTGTCATCATTTTTAATGGAGAAAATTCTCATATTTGTGGGTTTCTTTGGTCACTCAGACTCTGAGAGTCCGAAAAACCTCTGTTTGGAGGGTCACGTAGCTCAAACACTTCGCCCTACCCCTCTATCTCAACAACAGTCGGGACACCCTAACCCTAGACATGAACATGCAAAACAGAGGGGTGGCGCTAAGTGGTAGGGGCGAGGGGTGAAATGGGATTGGGCCCTAGTATATAATAGTAAGCCTGAGCTTTGATCCCATCTCCTGAAGATCTCTCTGACATTTCTACCCCTATTTCCCATCTCATTACCTCTGGTCATCTCATTACTTCTGGTCATGTTCATTGTGCCCTCAAATTGGCTGCTGTTACCCCAGTTATTAAAAAGCCCAGCCTTGACAACTCAGCTTTGGAAAATTATAGACCCATCTCTAATCCCCTCTTTGTCTCTAAGGTTCTTGAGATTTTCTGAACAGCAGCAACATTTTTGAGACTGTTCAGTCTGGTTTTCGCTCTCATCACACGTAGTGAGACAGCTCACGTCCGTGTCCTTAACTTTCGACTCTTATCCAACTCTAGCCATGCATCTCTCTTACTTCTGTTTGATCTTACTGCAGCCTTTGATACAGTTAATCATAATATACTCATTTAACATCTTTCCAGTACTGGCCTCTCTGGCACGGTGTTATCTCGGTTCACATCCCATTTAACAGATATTCCTCATTTTGTTACTTTAGGGAGGCACAAATGAATTACTGCTCCAGTTACTCGGGGAGTTCCCCAAGGCTCCGTTCTAGGGCCCCCGTTATTTATTATCGATATGCTGCGACTTGGAAACATCATTTATTTCCATGGCCTAAACTTCTGCTGCTTTGCTGATGACACAGATCTATCTTAGCTTCAAACCTGTAGAATCTTTCCCACCATCCACGCTGTTGTCAGGTATAAAGGAGTTAATGAATCGGTTGAACAGCGTTCTTAAACAGAATTTCTGATTCTTGCTACCAAGTCAGCCATGTCTGACTATTTAAATGGCATTCCGGTTGTTGATGATACTCCAGTCTCACGTATTAAATCTCTGACTCATTGTTCCATCTTTGCAATATTGCCAGACTTCGTCCTGCGCTGACCTTTAAAGGTGCTGAGATCCTGGTTAATGCTTTCATTACATCTGCACTGTCAGAAATAAAGGTTCTGTGCTGGTACATTTCTCATTCGTCAAGATAGAAACAATGTAAATGTTCCCTCTAAGGTTCAACAGTGGTTTTAAGGTCTGATTGTGAACCTTAAAAAAGTTTTTCCAGGTGAAAAGTTCGTATTTGTACCTTTTCATAACTGAATGTTTTAAACAGAACAGTAAAATAAAAGCCTGGAGACGAGACGGGGTGTGTGGAGTCAGTACAGCTTAGAACATATCATTTCAGTGGATTATGGTTCAGTTATGTTCCTTACTAAAGGTACTGAGATGGACCCTTGAGGGTCCCACCCCAGTGACAAGAGGGGAACTGACCCAGTGACAGTTTAGTACCTTTATTTCTGACATTGTAAAGCGACCTTGGGTTTGTGAAATGCGTTGCAGAAGCCTAACATATTATTATTATATAATAAAACTACAGTACAAAAGAGGAAAGACAATGACAGCTGGAACAAATTGAACTAAAAAACATTTCATATGAAAAGAAATCATTCTCCAGTTGAATCACTGTAATAATAATTTCTCAGTTTTTCGTGCACTTTGTTATTTCAAAATTTCATAATGAGCTCTTTCGCAATACGTTATATTATCACTGTATTATTATGCATTACTCTCTGTCCATGTATATATATAATTTATAAAAGTTTTAAATGGGAATTCCACCAATTTTTTCCAATTTTCAGTATAATTAAATGATTTACAGGTCAACAAAGTCATTCTGAGTGGTTTGGTGTGAAACTCTCTGTTCTAGAGAAACTTAGAGTCAGAACTGTTCACAGTGGTGGTGATAGGAACCAGACGTCCACCTCTAAAAGCTCCTCACAGAAAGTTACTACATGAAATGGTTATGAATTCACTGCCTGATGACTGAGACACTGTTTTATGATAGTTTAGAGAAGATTTTGGCCTTAAACTCCATTCATGGTGGAGGGATACATAATATGCAGGGTGTTGTGAGGCAAAATAGTCCCCAAAGAAAACGTGTTATTTCAGATTTTCCACTATTTTCCATCATCAACATTCCATATAAACTCAGAAGACTCGTATAGGTTCACTGGTGGTTCTGGATAGTAAATAAAATGTCTATATTTGTGTTGTAGCCATGGCGACGCCTGGTTCCTATCACCACCGCTGTGAAACATCTAAACCATTTCACACCAAACCACTCTGAATCACTCTGTTTACATCTTAGCTACTGTATTATGTGCAAAATGAAAAAATATAAGTTTTCTTTGGGGACTATTTTGCCTCACAATGCCCTGCATGTGTCCCTGCTCCATAAATACATTTTAAAAATCTTCTCTAAACTATCATAAAACAGTGTCTCAGTCATCAGGCAGTGAATTCATAACCATTTCATGTAGTAACTTTCTGTGAGGAGCTTTTAGACGTCTGGTTCCTATCAGCACCACTGTGAACAATTCTGACTTTAAGTTTCTCTAGAACAGAGAGTTTCACACCAAACCAGTCTGAATGACTCTGTTTACATCTACATTGTCCTCACATTGTGACCCAACAACAGTTTGAAAACCACCGAGCTACATTAGCCTTATAGCGCTGAAACTAACCGAGAAACATCAGACACCAAACATGACTCAATTCTAGGCTACATTTGTGTCGAACTCACTGGATACTTTTTTTTTTATTGGTCAAATTATCATTTTTAATGCCCTTTAATGAGGATTTATGTTCTTACCTGCTGCTGTGGAGTTCAGGCAGTTTGCTGAAGGGCCGGAGACGGACGCTAATAGTTTCACCCGTCAAGCGGAGTCCATTTGCCGAGAGCAGCGGCCTCAAGCAGACACGCAGAGCCATGCTGGAAGAATAAGAAAAGAGAGAAAGGTGCAGTTATCTGTCCTTCAGAGTAATGGACATAAGTGGACGGCTGCTCGCGTCTATGGACCAGAAAAACCGCCTTGAAAGCAAGGCTGAACGCGTTGAACGCTTCATCAGAGATAAAGACAGCCTTGATCTAATGGGTCATGGAAAGTTGATATGAAAGTTCAGCTAGACAGGGAGAGCATGTTCCCTCAGCCTTAAAATAATACGGTCCCCTCAATCCCAGGGGCCGTAGTTACGGCAACCGAGGTTTGATTGACAGCGACCTTGATCTTATATAGCATTTGCTGCTCAGGAAACCCAACAGTGCACCAAAAAACACAGTTACTTATTTATATGCATGTATTTTTTAATATCTACCTTATTTTACCTTTTACCACTGTGGTGCTCAATGTTTTATTTTAATGTTTAATGTTTTTATTTTACACAATTCATAAGGGCAGTCAGCATACAGAACACTGTGAAGGTGACTCCTCCATAAATGAACAAATAAGCAGAGCTAGCAGTGGCTGGAAAGAGAAAGAGAGAAAAAAAAAGCAGAAATGAATCATCCTAAGTAGCCCTCCCCCACCCCCCACCCCATACCCTGAAGGGGCATCCTCTCAGTAGTAGACACAATGCATCCTGAGCTGCAAGCATTTTTGTGAGGGAACAATTCAGTTTAAAATGCTGTTAGCAATCAAACAAATAGCCAGCAATTAGCGTCGTGACATGCAAACTGACAGCTCACTCACTGCTGCTAATGATACAATGAGCAGCTGCCACTTAGTATCATGTAAACACAACACTGGAAAGCCTTCAGACAAAACAGCGGTTCTTCTTCTTGGTCCAAAAGCTGCTAGAAAGAAACTGTTTAATTCAACGCTTAAACGTAATAGTTTCTCAGCTGCATCAGGTACATCTGTATAAAACCATAGTGGCACCGTCGATCCCGATCTTCATGCACATATAACACATATTACTAGGATAGCCTTCCTGAATCTCTACAATATTGCTAAATTAAGAAATGCATTGTCTCTACAGGACACAGAAAAGCTAGGTCATGCATTTATTACCCTCAAGGCTGGATTACTGTGATGCCCTGCTGTCTGGATGTTCCGGCAAAAGCCTAAACAAGCTTCAGTTCGTCCAGAACGCTGCAGCCAGAGTCTCACAAGAACCAGAAAGTTTGACCATCAGCCCAGTTTTATCAAGTTTTAACTGGCTGCCAGTTAAATTTCGCATTGATTACAAAACTCTTTTACTGACATATTAAGCTCTAACCTCTTATTCACCAGGGTATATTTTGGTTTTTTCCATCTGAATTTACATCACCAAATCATAAGGCAAATTATTCAGTAACTGCATCAAATAAAGGGTAATTTTTTGTTTTATTTATTTTTATTTTTTTTTTTTTGGTAAAAGCTCCCCTCAAATTAACAGAACATGTGTTTTATGATCATACACATATTGCTATATGCTTACAATTTACTGCTGAAAGCCAAAAATCTTAGACGCTCTTTGTATTATTCTATAAAAATAATGTTTACAGAGCAGATCACTGAAGAGACGCCATCTGTTTATAGTTTATAGCCCAGATTTGTGGAAAAATGGGTCGACTTTCAGTAGAAAATAAACTGTGAGTTCAGCTTCTTTTATTATAAGGGTTTAAAATTACATCACCCATCTATTTGACTGGAAAGAAGACAGTTACAGCTCTCATACGACCCCCACCTTTAGAATGTAGCTTATGAAATATGAAAGTTATGAAGAATACGACGAAGTGCGTTTTGGAACCACTGGTGGTCCCAAGGAGTTGAAAAGGCTAAATGGCCCCTCAGTACCTGAGTGAACTTCTCTCCCACTATGAACCATCACGCCTACTTAGATCACAAGGTGCTGCTCACTGTTAGTACCTAGAATTAATAGAATTACATCAGGGGGTGGAGCCATTTCATACAAAGCCCCCCAGCTTTGGAATAATCCTCCAGTCAGTGTTCGGGACTCAGACACAGCCTCAGTCAAGTCTAGGCTAAAACCCACCTGTTTAGTGGAGCCTTTGCTAGTTAGTTTTTCCTGTTAGATAAAAGGTGCAGATCTGGGGGTTCAGGGTCATAGAGTATCACGGTAAACTGAAATATATATATATATATATATATTTATATATATATATATGTATATATATATATATGTGAATGAGAGCAAGACATTAACCTTTTCAACTCCTTGGGACCACCGGTGGTTCCAAAACGCACTTCATCGTATTCTTCATAACTTTCATATTTCATAAGCTACATTCTAAAGGTGGGGGTCGTATGAGAGCTGTAACTGTCTTCTTTCCAGTCAAATAGATGGGTGATCTAATTTTAAACCCTTATAATAAAAGAAGCTAAACTCAGTTTTTTTGTCTACTGAAAGTCGACCCATTTTTCCACAAATCTGGGCTATGAAACTATAAACAGATGGCGTCTCTTCAGTGATCTGCTCTGTAAACATAATTTTTATAAAATAATACAAAGAGTGTCTAAGATTTTTGGCTTTCAGCAGTAAATTGTAAGCATATATCAACATGTGTGATCATAAAACACATGTTCTGTTAATTTGAGGGGAACTTTTACCAAAAATCAAATAAGTAAATAAAATAAAAATGTACATTTATTTGATGCAGTTACTGAATAATTTGCCTTACGATTTGGTCACGTAAATTCAGATGGACAAACCAAAATATACCCTGGTCAACAACGATTTCAACCTGTAGTGCTCATGTGTGGCTGCTGAATGACTACAGCACCAGCGGGTGGCTTTGCCTCGTTGCTGACGCACCACCGACCCAGACGATCAAGTTTCCCCACCAGTAATTACGACATTGTGGTGGAGTTAATGTGCCCCCATCTGACGAACAATACGATTTGAAGGCAGCATAAAGGCTTCCATTCACTGTTAACCACATGCTAACAAAGTGTGAACACCAAAATAGCTGCCACTTAGCACGAGGCAGCTGGCATCATGCTGATCACTGGCTTCCATTCATTCCAGCCACATTAGCACGTTTCGTCAAGCTGTTCCTTTTAATATGACCGAATTGAGGCAGCCTGGCGCTACATGATTTTACACCGTCGCACTCCTCCTGGCTTTCATTAGTAGCCTGAGCAAACATGCTAAAGCGGCTAATATGGAACCAATTAGCATGAAGGCATCAGCAAAAGCCTAACGGTGGCTCCGTTTCCAGTTATTGCTAAAACATTAGCTTTTTTTTCACGACTCTAGAGGAGTTTTAGCTTCACATTGTTATGCAGCTGCTTTTGGTAACCGAGCAGCTTCTGACAGCCTGTCAGAGTCAGAACTGGACTGCATTAATATGAATGACGGAGTGAGTCACCCTGAGCACCTGCCGGAGATTTATTTTGCCATAACAATGAAGAAATGAGTGATGACCACAGCTGGACATGCTTTAAATATTCACACACATGTACAGATACGGGTCATTCTACAGAAACGTCCACTTTTTCTATCTGTCCATAGGAGTCACTGGTGTAACCGATCCTCATTGGTGTTACATAATAAAGGGAACACCAGAGACATTTTTAATGAACAATGCATTTTACAAAACGGCTGCTACAGAGCATCAAACCACATGTTGTCAATCATGGAACATCCACTAAAATATGTAATTTAATCCATTTGTATTCTATTTTTTCACAATTACCTCAGAATAAAGTCGGTCACACCAGTGACTTCAGCTAAAAGCTTCATATGAAATCATGAGCTAAATGAGAAAATCTCTGATAACTGAAAGACTCAGTGGACTGACCATGTGCTTTTCTTCATAGATCCTCAGAAAACAGGTAAAAGGAAGTCGAATGATGTCATCAGTGTGACTTTTATTTCAAAATAAGAGATTTTTTGTTACACAGTAACACCAGTGACATGACTATATATATATATATATATATATATATATATATATATATATATATATATATATATATATATTTCATAGTCATGTATAGATTATTGTAATTAAAATTGCAGAAAAACATGTTTTTTACCTCAAAATATGGCCTCAGCCTTTACACATGACTGTGGGGACGAGCTCTTCTGTGGTGCTTGGAATTCTATATGATTGATTTATAACCAATATTGCTAAATTGAGGCTCAAGAAGGTGTAATTGTTAAAATAACGTATTGTTTTATTTTAAAAATATAAATAAATTGTAACCCTAACATGTTTTTGAAGTGTAATATATCTGTAAATGCTAGGGACACAAAAATAGACATTTCTGTAGAATGACACATATGTATATAAGTTGGTTGGTCCTCAACAGGCGTTTTTATTTATTTTTGTTTAAAGGTGCTCTCCATCCATATGCCAGCCATTTATATCACGTCTATGCTCTCTGTAAGTGATGGTGTTCATCAGACTCGCTCAACTGACTGGCTCACCTGTGTTATGACCCGGTCTAGGGTCAGGCCATGAAAGAATGTTGTGGTGTGAAATGTGTGTAGTTTGTAATAATGAGACAAAAAGGGCAAAAAGGTTCTTAACAGCAAATCCAAAGTGTATATGGCAAATGTACGTTAGTTGAACTTGGGTTTGACCAAGATTGAACACCAAACAAAACCCACAATGACTTCAGGAGAAAAATCAAACCAAATATTAAAGAGTAACAACACGCTAAGACCTATTTTCCATAATAGCTGAAATGCACTGCTCTGTAACACAACCCTATTTCCAAAAAAAGATGGGATGCTGTGCTGAAGTTAAATAAAAATTGAATGCAATGATATGCAAATCATTTAAACCCTATTTTTTAAGAAAAATACTACAAAGACAACATTTCAAATGTTGAAACTGAGAAATTTTATTGTTTTGTGAAAAATATAAGCCCATTTTCACTTTGATGCGAACAACACGTTCCAAAAAAGTTGGGACGGGTTCCTGTTTACCACTGAGTTTCATTACCAACACTCTGTAAGGGTTTGGGAACTGAGGAGACACTGCTGTAGTTTTAAAAGTGAAATGTTTGTTCTTGTTTGATATAGAATTTCAGCTGATTAAAAGTTCAGGGTGTCTTTTGTCGTATTTTTCAT